GGCATTTTCGATTTAATATTTGGTAATTTTAGACTGCAGTCTTCAATGTATGTTTTTAATACAATTTTTTTCATATTTTTTTTTTTTTTTGAATCTGGAAACTCATTTGCCTGCAGGCGCCCGTGACCCCCTTCTCATTTTTATTTTTAAAATTTTATCCGATTTTATTTTTATTTTTTAAATACCTTTTTTAAATTTTGATAACCAGCGAGTTCCTATAATACATATTCATTTTACCATTATTTAATTATTGTACATAACGCTATTAGTTTACGAATACTGATATTATAGACTGCAGTTGTCAATGTTTGTTTTTAATGCAAATTTTTTCATATTTTTTTTTTTTTTGAATCTAAAAACGCATTTGCCTGCGGGCGCCCATGACCCCCTTCCCATTTTTATCTTTAAATATTCTTTGTTTCATAATATAACTATTGTAAATAAAACTACGAGTTTAGAAATACTGATATTGCAGTCTTTAATATTTATTCTTAATGTAAATTTTTTCATATTTTTTTTTTTTTTTTAACGCATTTGCCTTCGGGCGCCCACGTCCCCCTTCCAATTTTTATTTTTGAAATTGAATAGTAGATGATTTTTTTTTGATTCCTAACATTCATTTGCACGTGCGTGCCCATGAAGCCTTAAAACTCTACAATTTAACTATTATTAAATTTTTCATGAACATTTTTAAAATTTTTATAACCAGCTGGTTTAATCTAAATCACCATTGTTTAAGTAATAAATGAATTTGAATGGCATATTCGATTTCATATTTGGTAATTTTAGACTGCAGTCTTCAATTTATGTTTTTAATACAATTTTTTTCATATTTTTTTTTTTTTTTGATTCTTATAATCTATTTGCCTGCGGGCGCCCATGACCCCCTTCCCATATTTATTTTTTAAATTGTATCCTATTTGATTTTTATTTTTTAAATACCTTTTTTAAATTTTGATAACCAGCTAATTCCTAATACATATTCATTTTACCATTATTTAATTATTGTACATAACGCTATTAGTTTAGGAATACTGATATTATAGACTGCAGTTATCAATGTTTGTTTTTAATGCAAATTTTTTCATATTTTTTTTTTTTTTTTTTCATCTCAAAACGCATTTGCCTGCGGGCGCTCATGACCCCCTTCCCATTTTTTTTTCAGAATTGATTTCTATTTATTTTTTTATAATTTTTTTATTTTTTGATTCTTATAATCTATTTGCCTGCGGCGCCCATGACCCCCTTCCCATTTTTATTTTTAAAATTGAATTCTCGAAGACTTTTAAATACCATTTTTAAATTTTGAAAACCATTTAGTTCCTAATACATATTCATTTTACCATTATTTAATTATTGTACATAACGCTATTAGTTTACGAATACTGATATAATAGGCTGCAGTCTTTAATGTTTGTTTTTAATGCAAATTTTTTCATATTTTTTTTTTTTGAATCTCAAAACGCATTTGCCTGCGGGCGCCCGTGACCCCCTTCCCATTTTTTTTTCAGTATTGATTTCTATTTATTTTTTTTATAATTTTTGTTTTTTTTTTTCTTATACTCTATTTGCCTGCGGGCGCCCATGCCTCCCTTCCAATTTTTATTTTTAAATATTCTTTGTTTCATAACATAACTATTGTAAATAAAACTACGAGTTTAGAAATACTGATATTGTAGACTGCAGTCTTTAATATTTATTCTTAATGTAAATTTTTTCATATTTTTTTTTTTTTGGTTCTCAAAATGCATTTGCCTGAGGGCGCCCATGACCCCCTTCCCATTTTTATTTTTAAAATTGAATTCTCGAAGACTTAAATACCATTTTTAAATTTTGATAACCATCAGTTTCCTTATACATATTCATTTTCATATTATGTAGCTAGGGATATATCTTAATATGTTGTTGTAATTATCAAATGATTATTAGTGTCATCATAGATAGGTAGTATAATATTATAATTAATTATAATTAAGGAATAAAGTCTGTGTCAGACCATATTATCTAAAACATGTACGATTTTGTTAAATGTTACTTAAATAAATGTATTCTTAAATAAACAAATTAAATGACGCATTAAAAACTCAACCACTGAGTGATGGCATAATATTTTTTTAAAATAATGTTGGTTAGGATATTTCAAATTGTGTAAGTCAATCATATGATAGTGTGTCAGTAATGTTCCGGAGCTTTTTCTAGTGTTCAAACAAAAATAAGGGAATTAGTACAAAATCCGTGTCCGTATATTCATTGTAATGCTCATAGGTTAAACCTAGTTCTAGTTGATGTAACGAAAAATATTCAAGAAGTAGATGAAATACTTGGTTTATTAGAAGCTATTTATGCATTCCAATCGGTATCTACAATTGGCCATCATGCTTTTTTACAAGAAACCAAGTATAAAGTACCACAACAATACAACATTGCAAAACAAGGTGGGTTTCAAAACACAAGGGTATTAAATTTTTTTAAAATCATTTTATTGATATTTTAAAAGTTTTAAATGCATTAAGAGAAAGTACTTAAAAACAAGAAGCTGCAGAGGCAAAGGGTTTGGCCATACAGTTTGCTAAGTCTGAAGTTATCATAATAATTGTGTGCTTAAACGAAAAATTAAATATCATTAATTGCTTATAAATTAACTTGCAATCAACTACTCTTGATAAAAAACGTTGTACACTTTTAATTAATGCAACAATGCAACAAATATTAGAGTTACCTAATGATGAGAGGTTTTTTGAACTATATGAGCAATCATTGGTATTTTGATACTTTTTATTTTATAAAAGTATTCATTGGTAATCCTTATATCAAAATATCTGGCCTGTGTCTAGCTACGCCACTGTCTGCATGTTTATTTTAAAAATAACTGCATAATATTGCATATTTAAGCATTTGTTAGTGCATATGTATGCATATATTTCATTATTTTTTATCGCATAATATTCCGAGCCCTGTTAATTATCTACATAGTAAACGAACGTTTTTAATAAAAATAACACTTTATGAAAAAAAGTATCAGGTATGGCTATAAACATAATGTATAGTTAGAATATGATGAATTTATGAATAAATGAAGTAAAATAAGATTGGATAAATATTGTTGTTTAACTGGTATATTTGAAAAGTGATAAATAAAATGAAATTACTTATAACAAACAATATATACCAATACCGTCGGCCGAATTACCGAGGCGTATCCAGGCCGTCGGCCTTGTTTATTTTGGCCCAATTTATAATATAAAATTAAAAATGATTTTAGAAAAACTCTATAGTCCCCCGTTCATACAAAATTCTTGATACTGGTGGAAATTTACACAAAAAAAACCATGTAAATTGATTCAATAAAACTTCAAATATATAGATATAGGTAGCTGTAAAAAAAATCTTTTCATGTTTTTACAATAAATTTAATATTATGGCGACGGCACAGCAACAATAACGTCAGCAATCAACATCGGTTATATTATTGCCGTGTTCGAAATTTATCGATACGAATTCTATTATAAATCATAATAAATTACAAGTATAGATCGGACCTGGAATGCTTATCATCTGTTATTGTATGATATAATTATTCATAAAAGAAATGGAGGGTGGGCACTTGTCTCCAGTGCCCCCACCAACGACACAGGTAAATATTAAACAGGTATCCGAGTCATAGCAAAATATTGATACAAATAAACAATCCATTTACTGGTTGACTGGTGTTTTATAAAAAATCTATAATTTATCAGTAAAACGTACATAATAATTTGAATTTTATTACGATACGTTGTCCAGTTAGCAAAGAGATCACTACTCAGTTATTATTTGTATATGTTATGTTCTTTGGTGTATACATTCGTCAGAACTTGGTACGCATCGCACGATCTCTTTCCACGACTAAATACAAATAATAATTTATTCGTTTATATTAATTGTTGTAATATATTACATTTTTCCAACAATACGAAACGAACTTCTGCATGGATTTAAAATAACTCTTATTGTGGACTGTGGAAACCACTCACCAATGTATAAAAAAATATTTTTTTAAAGAAGATTTTTTCTGTTCGAAAATTCTCAGAAGTTATACTTTACTTCAGCTGATAAATCCTAGTATGGAATTTTACACAGAAAACCAAAAACTATCGTAGATCAGGGGCAAGCCCCAAAATCTTCACCAATTTTGAAAAAAAATAGTTTAACATATGAACCTTTCAATGAAAGGTGCATCAGAATATGTTAAGCTAGTATGGACAAATTTTTAAGTAAAGATGTTTGAAGAGTGGCATTTGAGCAAACAAACACGGAGAGTTCTTCATAGATAGGTAGCACATGTGTCGTGTAGTACCTGGACCCGGAGGTCTCGCAGAAAATGATATTAGTGCAAGCCACATGAAGGCTGCTTTGGTCAACATTTTATGGTTTGTATAGGGGCAAAACGCCGACTCAAAATCCAAAGAGCTGATTATACATTTAAACTTCCCACTGCCTAGGGTCGACGGTCGCTGAAAGACAGAGGTTCTTGAGTGACAAAGTCACCCAACTTCCAGTGGGCCGTGAAATTATTATGAGTGGCAGTCCGGCGGTACTGCGATACTGGACTGACCCAGTAGGAGCAGGAGTGACCTCCGAAATCTCCAGGTTTCAACAAAAATTAGCATTAATCGACAGCGAAATCCGCATCGGCCAGTGACGGACCGCATTGGATCCGATTGTTCTAAACTCGTTGAAATACATAGGTTTCCAAATAAAATTGAATAATTCGCTTCGGCGCTAAACTAAATTTATTCCGGTATTTATTTTATAAGATATGTATACCGTTACCGCCATATTTAGTTTAAATCTATGGTTTAATCACGTATGGAATATGGATGATAAGAAGTTGAAAATTAAAATTAAATTAAATTTATGTTGGTAATACACAAATGTAACAGGTTTGTAACACTGCGAATTTTCGAACTTCTTTGGATCATCTGTTTTGTTATTGTTTTGATTTTCTTTTCATCTTCATTGCTCCAATGCCCTATGTGTATGTACAATTAATATGTTTCAATGTTTGCGATTTTGTTTTTCTATTGACTTTTTTTTAGTCCTGGCCTCCTGGGAGACGGGAGTTCGTGTAAAAAACTAAAATCTTTGAGTTGTTGATTGTTTTCTCTTATTATTGTTACATATTTATTAGTAATTCCTGGAGTGTGCAAATTTATCTTTTTGTGACATGTTTCAATTATTTTAGTTTGTTATTTGTTTGTATTCAGCAGAATATACACACAAATTGGTTATTGAAGAGGATCATTAAAAAAAAAAAATGGATTTTAACGTGAGTATTAACGCTTTAACATATTTACCACAAATATATCACGAGTGGAATTGTATGTATCAGACCTACTAATGTTAGTTTATACATATTTAAACACAACATTACTATATATTAAATGCTTACATGTGTGGATTTAATAATTATAATTTTTTTTGGAAGATTGGATAAAAATTTTATTAGGTACACAGTAATGTGAGATGTGCCATATGTTAATCTTTTTGGTACTGTAACACTTATAATCATTTAAAAATTCAACATTGTTTGTCTAACATTTTATAGGTACCAACACTATCTTATTAAATTATAACTAATTGTACCTAATTTTCTAAATATGTTTTTATTAATACATGCGTGCTTGATAAGGGCCAATTTATTTTGAAACATGATTTACAATAACAGTGTCTTATAAGAAAATACATGTATGTAAATATTCAATATCCTTTAATTTAGGTTTAATGGACACTATACCGTTATGAGTATTTAAAAATTGTAAATTGTTTGTACAACTTAAAATACTTATCAACACTCTTTAAAATTAAAATATAATTAAAAGCCCACGAGAAACTTTCCGTAATAATCTTACCTTTAATTTTATTAAGAGGTCAATTTGCTCTAATTTTTAAGCTAACTGAGCTAAACGTGATCTGCTGAATGTAAAATTTGATATGTTATGCTCTTGTAAGACGGTGACAACACATGCGAGTATAGCGTCCTCTTAAGTGAATCATGAAAGTTGTGGTTTATTTGGTTGTTTTCTAAGCCTGTGAGATTTTCTTGTGACATATTACGTGCTCTTACATATTTTGTTGAGGATTTGTAGAAAAGCATTCTAAACGGCATTGTTTAGCCTTTATTTTACCACTAATAACGAAGTTGAGACCAAGAACCTGATAGCAAAATATTATTGATTTGAACCTTGGTTAAAATATAAACTATCTTTAAGAGCATAATAAAATATAAATAGCTGATATTAATATGGGTTCATATGTCGTTAACTAATATTATGGTTAATGTGCTGGATATGCCTTTATAATTTGTCTGATTAAAACTTAGAATATGTTCTTCCCGAACGGTCCAAAATAATTCAATGTACCGAAAACCTAGGTTTTGATTTAGGCCCACCTTTTGTTAAATTGTTTTAATCCTTTTTAGTTAGTTATTTGGTTTGAAGAACTAAATACCTAGTGTTATATTATATTATTGTTTAATATTGATTATTTATTATTTTTATTAGAGTATTGATGATGATGATGTTGAAAAATTACGTCTAGCTGCACTTATGACATTCAAAAAAAAATCTAATTTGCCAATAAATTCAATAAGTAGTACATCTGGAGAATTTAATAAATTTGGAAATGGCAACTCCTACAATAATCCTGCAAGAAGTAATAACAGAGGACGCTGCTTTCCAGTACCAAATAGGTTATATAATAAACGCACATATGCTAATGTAAGTTAGAACTAATTTTATCTTTAAAATACCTTCTTTTATGAAATATTATGCTTATTTTAGGTTGGTTTTCGAAGACCAACTCATGCCAACAATAATTTGATTGCAATTATACCAATGGATACTGAAGGTGATTCTCTAAATGATTCAATATCTAAGAATTTACCTAAAAATACTAATTCAAAACACACGTATACTTCCGATTCCACCAAATCAACCAATTTTCAGAATTTAAATAATGAAGGTAATTGAATAAAATATTACAGTTATATCAAGAACTCTCAAATCAATATTCCAGACTACATATTATTGATTTTAAATGTATTTCTTTTTTCAGTTTCTACAAAATTTAGCAGATTAGAAAATGAATCTGGTTCTGAAGAAAGTGATGATAGTGAAGCTGAAGATGGAAAAGAAGATTCAGATGATGGAGATGTCTTATTATTGGGTGAAGAAGATGAAGACTTAGATGATCTTGATAAATTAATGGACATTATGGAGGCTGAAATTGCTGGTGGAAATGTTAAATCATCTAAAAAAGAAAAGAAAAGTTTAAAGCAAAAAAATAAAAAAGATAAGGGTACAGTAAAAAATAAATTGGATGCTAAAACTAAAGTAGATGAACCTCCTTTAACTATAAATCAACCCAAGATTATTGAAGATTCTAAACCTCAATTAAATCCACCTGAAGAAGAATTAGAATCTATAAAAACTTTAGAAGAAATTAGAAACTCTTCATCGCAATCTAGTTTATTGAAATCACGTGTACCTTTGAGATCTCCATCGCCGCCTCTAAGAAAAAGATCGATGTCTCCTTATAGTAAACTTCAAAAAAGGTCACCTTTGTCCAGATCACCACGAAGAAGATCTCCTTCCATAGACAGATATAGATATTCACCACAACGATCAAGGCCCTATCGTAGGTCTTTATCACCAAGGAGATCACCTAGACGTTTGTCACCGCTAAGGGAAAAAAATCTTTCTCCTAGACGATATTCACCTCTTAAATCTCGTTATCCCTATCGATCACCATCTCCCAGAAGAAGGCGTAGATCTATATCACGAGATGTATCGCCTAGTAGAAGACGGTTATCACCATTAAGGAGAAGAAGTAGATCTCCGCTCAAAATGAAATCAAAATCTAGATCACCTAAGGTAAGACCAGCTCTTAGAAGACGATCACCTAGTCCATTAAAAAAAGTAATAAGGTCAAGACCATTATCTCCTCCTAATAATCGGCGTAAAGATAGTAAAATTGCGGATGATGATCACTTAAAGAAAAGAGAAAAAGTTAAATCTGTTGATAATCAATCGGAATCAAGGCCAATAGATCCTGTTTTAGAAGCCAGAAAAAGGAAATTTGAATCCAACAAGCCAATTGAACCAACTAGTAAAAAAATTATTTTGAAAAAAACCAATTCAGTTCAAGTAGCAATTCAGACTGAAAATAAAGAGACTGAAAATGAAAAGAATGCCCCCGAAATAAAACCAAAAACTAATTTAACAAAGAAAGTAAAAAAAGTTGCACATTCCTTCCAGGTTCCAAAAAATGTTAACATAAAAATGAATAATGATTTGGAAACTGTACATTTACGAAGAGTTGTAAAAGTAAATACATCTTCAGATAAAATGTGTAATAAAAAACGACCCAGGATCGTGTTTGGGCATGAAGAAAAAAATGATACCCCTATTGAAGAAGGTTTGATATAATATTGATTTTATTAAAATTGTAAATAATTTGTTTTGCTAATATTGATTTTTTTTTTTAGTCGATAATTTTAATAAACCTATTGAGAATATTGCTAAATCAAATACAACTGTAACAAAAGTATTACATTCTGAAGCAGTAGAAGTATCTAGTACATCAGAAGAAGAATTATCAGAACAAGAAGTATCTGAGGAAGAAGTATCTGAAGAAAATGTAGATGAAGAAAGTGAAAAAGAAGATGGACAAGACTCTAGTGATAGTTGTGAGGAATATATTGAAGAGGAAGAAGAAGAAGAAGAAGAAGAAGAGATTGATGAACATCAACAGGGAGTTGATGATAAAAAAGAATCCTTGCAGTGTAATGATACAGTTGATCTTAGAACAGAACTTAAACGAAGAAGGGCTCTTCGATTAAATATGGTAAATAAAAATATTAAATTCAAATAATCATTTAATAACAATTCGTTCTCAATGTTTAGATTCAAGTGGAAGTAAAGAAAAAACCAGAATCATTTTATCCTGCACGGTTATTACAGTCAGCTATAAGAGGTGTTGTTGGTTCGAGGTATGATAATATAATTATGAATGACTAAAGATTTATTAAATAGTTTTAACTGAACATTTATGACCATTTTTCAGCAGTACCAATGAAGTTAAAAGAAAAAAACATTCTAAAATACCAGAAATTAGCATAAAAACAGAAGGTTTGTGATATGATTGTTTTATTTTTTATTAAATTTTATTGGTTAAATAAAAAGAATAACTAGGCCTGGGAAGTTGTATGAGTATAATAGTTTTCTTTGATTTGATTTATAGCAGACTAAGCTAAAAACCCATTATATATATTTTTTTTTAATTGAGACTTTTATTTTATGATTTATTTAGTAGTATACACTATACAACTTCATAAATATTGTAAATATATATATTTTTTAATACTATATAGGTACCGATAATATTAAATTTTTTAATATTCATACTATCGTTCCAATAATGTTAATAAATTATTCATTTTTAAATTTTGTCTATTTTAGGTATTTTTACTTCTAAGCCCTCTTAATTATTAACAAAACACATTTTCTTACCTCTCATTAACTTGTTAACTTAATTACAACGTAATACAAATAATTGGCAACTATATATTATAAAGAACATATTTGTGTTTAATTAATAGTTATTATTTTATCTCTAATATATATAAATTAAAAATACTTTTTTTCTTTTAGGTAACTCAGATGGCAGAAGAGTAATTGTAATGAATCGAGACAAAACAAGGACCGACAATGGTAAAAATTATGTTCCTGTTTAAATACTGTTATCTCTTGGTGCCTCCATCTCCTTTTAACTCTGTTCAATCGATAAAAGAGTACTCTTACCGATTTTTCTATGTAGATAACTGTGTTTCGTTAAAGATGATGTTTATCAATTTAATATAAATTGATGTTAAAAAAATGAATCCCTCCAAATTATTTAGTTATTAAGTTTAAACATAATTTAATAGTAAATTACTAATTCTTAATACCGATCTTTCATTCAAACCAAAATGTTATGCTTTTAAGTTATAAATGATACTCGCTTTTATCTATAAACAGTATTCTCTATTGAAGCCAGAAATCATGTACTTTAGATGTAGCCATACCCGTATATGCTTGTGTACTAGATTTGATGCTGAAATACTGAGCTAAAGCCTTTTTTATTACTGCTCATGCATGAAAGACTGATAACTAGGGCTGAGGTCTTGTTTCACTAAAAAACCTCAAAATATGTATGCACTTATGCATTTAAAAACAAATAATATGCTCTAAAATAAATTTATATTATATTAAATATTGAAACTAAATTATAATTATAAAAAAATAATTTTAATTAATTGATAAAAACTTGAAAAATGAATTGCACATTGATCAACCTACAGTATGTGATAAATTATGACAGAACTGAAGTTTACTTCCTACAATCCTACACGTGTCCTAATGTTATCAGCCAGATAGTGAATTATCTAACCGATAATATTAGTATTAAATATATGTTGATATTCAGAAAATAATATTTTTTTTGTATGTTATATTATATTTAGTATCAAAATTTTACAAATTTGTACCTATGTATGCCCGTAATCAGTCTAATATACTCAAATATGCATTTATATACAATAATGACAAATCCACAAAACTAAATTGTTAATCTAACATTGTGTTGTGAAACATCACTCACATTGTTCTGCAACTTTTCTAGACAGAAATGAAAAACTTGAAGTCCTCACTGATCAGCCTTACTGATAACCTAACCAAATAAATTACGTGCATGTGCACAGTCTAAACTCTAGGTTCACTCTTATGTTGGGTATTTATGATGGCATAAAAATTAGCTTGATGGCCACATCATATATATTGTCGAAAGATTCAGACCAATGCATTCGTTTAAACTTTCAGCAACACTGATACATTTCAAAATATCTTGAAAATCATGTCTCTATAAAAAGAACTAATAAAACTAATTTAAAAATACTAAGTGTTTGCTACCTATAGAAAACTGAGAGGAAAAAATCTGTTTATCTTTACTATCATTAATTAGTGGTCTCTTCAATCAAGACAACAAGCCATTTCTTTAAATTATAATTCATTATATTATATGATATTTTTTGGTTATAAATGTAAAAATGTAATAACATTTATTTATTACAATTTAGTTCATGAAGATTATAATGATGCAGTCGAATCGTATGCAAGTGTCAAGCGTCTAAAGGGTAAATTAAAGAAGGGACCAGTACATTTGAGAACAACAGGTGTTAATAACGATAACACCAATCAAAAAGGACTAAGGAAGATCATAAAGCGTAACATTAATGTTACAAATTTCGATCAGGTATTTTATGTCCTAATCACATGCATTTTTATCCTCTTGGTCAATTTATTATATGACAATTATTTTGTTTCCATTTTACTTTTATGGTATTCTCCAAAATTCAAGTTAATTGTAGTTTAGTTCTTTCTTTCTAATTCGTAATAGGAACTAATTAATCTTTATTCATAAATGTATATTATTTACATTCCATTCTTAAAAAATTATCTCGATAAGTGCGATTTAAATATTTTATACTTAAATTATCATTTAATTTTATTAGTAAATACACAATTTGGTACACTATTAAGTGCGGTACTTAATATATTTAAGATACTGAACTACTAGAAAATTCTCAAATATATCTTGATTACCATTATGTACAATTTTAATCCAGTATGATACAGAACATTTCTTTTCTTGAAGATTGTGCTATACAAAATAAATAAATTTCAAAAATTGCCTGTACTTAAAAATTTGAATTAAGAATTGTTAATTTTTTTGTATGATATACTATTCTTTTTTTTCATTTGAGCCCTCCCAGTACATTTGAGCTTGTTTAACCACTATTACTCAAAAGATAAAAAATATCCATTTAATCTGAGCAACTATAACTTAAAATAAATGTAATCACAAGTCATAGAGTTTGTTTCACAGTTATTTAACATTTTTTTTTTTTATATTCTAAAATGTCAATTATTATTTATTAATAATATCTGATTATAAACTTCAAAATGTTTTTAACATATGGTTAATATTCAATCTACATATACAACATTGAATGTATTCAAAGACTAATATCTCTTTAATATTAAACATTTTTAATGTCTTTGGCACTTAGTATTTTTGGACAATTTTGTTATATATAATATTAGGTGTTTTCAATGAATTTTTTTATAAAATTTAGCTTACAGATATTATTTAAAAACTCCAGTTGTATACTGTTTTTGTGTGAATTATTTATTTATTTTTAAATTCAAATAGATTACTTATAACTAAAGACTGATTTTTTTTGAATCCATAAGACTGATAATTTATTTTCTGCTACATTAATTTCTCAGATCTCAGCAATTACTTTAGATCGTTTCAAAATATTTTTAACCTTTTATGTTTATAAAGTTACATATTTATTATGTTGGACTAACAATTATGTAGTTGAAGTAAAATGTTAAATAAAAATTCTATTTTTAATTTCATTTGTTGCTATTTATATTTTTAGATCTCACATTATATACTATATAGTATATTTTTTAGTTTCATTTGTTGGTAACTTCTATTTTCAATTTAATATATTTTGAGTTTTGAGAACAATAAAATTTAACACAATAATTTGCAAATTAACTTTTTTCTTTCAATTATGCTCATATTTTATTTTACATAGAAAAAATTTCACATTTTACTCATTTTTTTCTATGATAGTATCTAAATATTAATTATAACATTATTGACTGAACAATTTATAAAATATTCTCCTTAGTTTGTCAACATTATTTATTATATGTGTATACTAATAGTTATTCATGAAAAAAATTCTATAAATTATATTTACTATACTTAGTTTTTATTATTAAACTATTCCTTCCAAATGTCCAAATGTCCTGTTTAAATAACAATTTATTGTTAAGTGATTAATGAATACAATATTATAGTTATTATATATTAGTTATTTAATTTTTGAAATTAAAATGTATTATGGAACGGAGTGAATGTTTTATTTAATATTTTAAAATTTGTTTTCAGTGTTGATTAAAAGGTTTTATAAATGAGTTATAAAAATATTAATTGCACAATAGTCATGTTACCCAAATGTTGCTTGCTGAGATTAGATCAGACTTCTAAAAAATTAATTTAACAATAACCTTAAACATAATAACAATTTCTTTTAACACATTTGATGATCAATAGTTTAAATTAATAAAGTAGTCATATTTTTTTAAGACCGAATTGTCCTTGATCGAATAAATGTGTTTCCCGAAATATACGAATTTATGACCAAGATACATAATTGTTGTTAAAAATACTTTAGAATTTTGTATATATATATATATAACAATATTTCTTATTAAATTAATAAACTAATACTCATTTACATATTTTACTCTTGAGAATCTTGATAACACTTAGACATTGCTATTATATTATTGATATATACTATATAAGTATATAAAATTTGAAAGTATTTTTTAAAAACAATTATATCTCTTTGTTTAGAAGTCGTATATTCTTTAAAACACTTATATTGGATCTATGATAATTTTGTCTTAATGAGTAATTATTCATTAGTTTTGCCATTTAGATTATAATTTTAAAAAACCAATAAATTCTCTATGCTTTACATATAAAAACAACATCACTACTGTCGACCCGCATTCTGGCAGATACAAAATTTGGTATCCTTTCTCTAATGTTCATGATTTAAGGCTGGGGCTGTACCTTTACACTGCCATTCTATCTTGTTTAGTAACAACATAGGTTATGTGCAATTACCTTGTTTATTTAAACCATGGATACATCTATCCTTAGACATATGTTTTTCATAACTTGTCCATGGTCTAAACAAGCCACTTTAAGAATGGTTTCTATCTGACAACTGCAGCACTAAAGCTAGTAGGTACCCACTACACCATGTCAGATGTAGAGTTGAATGTATTTTAATTGTAAGTAACATGTTAACTTTTTTTTAAATATACGGAATACAACACGACACAATTTAATGTGAATCCATTTCAATTTTAATATTGGAGTTTATTGAAATATTATCAATTAGGGCACCTTGTAGATTTTTTTAAATTTAAAAATTTTAAAAAGGGTGGGAAATGGTTAACAGCTCTGATGTATAACAGATGTTGAATGTACAAAGTCAATCTGTTTATCTCTAATGTATGTGTTAAATTTAAGTTCAATGATAGATAATAATAACAATTGCATATGAAAACAATGATTCTGAGTAAAGATGGTCTGTCAATCTATATTACTAATCATGTTCATGATATATTTTTTTGTATTGCTCATAAAGCAATTTGTTTTATTATCAGTGTAAGGATAGATAGATTTAATTTGTTTATATTTTATTAACAATATTTGCGATATTGCGAACATTATTTTTTTAATTTTGGTATAATTAGTATGAGTAATTTTTACTAACATTTATAGAAAAATCTAAAATAAAAGGAGTTACCCAACAATTATTTTAAAATGTTAACAAATTTTTGTAATTTTTTTTTGTTTTTCTCAATTAATTTAAAAGGCAACAACAAGTTTAGCTAGAAAAAGTGTCTTTTCGGATAAAAAACAACATAAACTCCAAAATTATTACTTAAACATTTTCATAACTTGCTTCTAAATTAAAAAATAAATCCAACAAGGATTATGAGGATTTGGATATTCACTCTAATATTTAAAATATAGTAAAACAGACTCTTTTGAATGTTAAACACCATGTTACGAGTTAGTAAACCATAAGCAACACATAACGAATAATAGTGTCTTAATGGTGGTTATTACTTATTAATGGTTATGTAATGTAAACTAATCGGGTGAGCAGAGGAATATAAATAATACTTAAGAATAAAAAACACTCATAACATATATGTTGTATAAACTTAAATTTGTTAACTAAAACATTTCCAAACAATAATATAAAGTTCATGGTCTTAGACAATTTTAATCAACACTGTAATTATTAAACTATTTTCTGATATTAAAACAAATAATACTACTTTTTATGTATGATATTTTGTAGTTTTGTTTGATTGGGTTTATATCTAATGTACTGACATTGAACAAAAAGTATCAAATCGGTTTATAATTTGTATTATATTTATGAAATTATGTGATGATTATATTAACAAATTATGTTAAATTGATTGTTATAAATTACATTTATTTTTGTGAGTAATTAAATATATTATGTCCATTTTACAAAACAAAGTCGTTGTATGTTAAATAATAGTTATTTAAAGTTTAAAGCTTAAACACTTTTTTAATAATTATATTTTAAAATTGTTTATTCTAAGAATGTAATATATCATTTATTACTATTAATTGTTAGATTTCATGTCATAAAAAGAATATTTAATATTCTATTCTAATTTAATGTCAGTTGTAATATAAAATGAAATGTAATATTTTGAAAAAACAATTTAATTTATATTTATTATTTATTAGTCATAATATATTTTAGAGATGTTATTATATTTTATTTAATATGAGTTATTAATTTAATAAATATTATATTTATTGTGATAACTTAAGAATTCTTGCAATATAGTATTGTTATTATTATATCATTTTTGTTTGCCCTATTTTTTACGCATTTTTTTTTTATTATTATTAAATGTTATAGTTAATTTTTCTCATGAGATCTAATTTAAATATATAAAGTAATTATATGCTGTAATTGTAGTTTATTTCTAATAATTATATTCTTATTAATAGGGCTTACAAATATGAGTTGTATGTTTTTATTTTGTAAAACGGACATATTGTAAACAAAAATTGTATTGTAGTTATTTGTATTTTGTTCACTCCGTTTCGTGTTTGTTAAACCGTTTTCAAATTTGTAACGTATTGAGTAAGCAAATCGAATGTTGTCAATTTTTAACCGAAGTATGAATTTTTATATTTTGTCACAGATGTAGGTATCCAAAAGCATTTTCTACAACAAAACAACACCAGCGGCATTTTATTATTATAAAAAAAATTACATTTTCAACTTGGATGACTATCAACTTGTGACAACTTAAAATGTTATGTTGTTGCATTTAAATGTTTACATTATTATTATTATTATTATGTATACAATTTCCATACATAGCTTGTGTATTTGTTACTTTTGTTTGTAATTAGATATTATATACCTTTGATAATTATGTTTACCAATTGTAAACTTTTTAAACATTTGATATTTATCAAATGTTATGTAATGTAATAGAAAATAATTGTTTTATATTTGAATTATATATATATACTTGTATATATATAGATTATAGGTGTATAAATATATATATACACATTTAGGTGCCCATTTTTAAAATTTTTTTTTTTGAATGCCAATTTTTGTTTCTTATTCATGATTTTGTATTATTATGGTAGACTAGAGCTTTTATAATTAATTTCTATGCTATTAAGTGTGATAGAATATACTTTAAATAATTATTGTTCTTAATAACTATTTTTTTTTTATCATTGAGCAATGAAATACTTGTAAATATATAAGTGTAAATTATTATTATTGTGTCACCTTAAAAAATATTTTAATTATTTCAATATAATGTGTGTAATGAGATTATAAGTAAACGTCTGTGATTATTTTTCATGTAGTTTTAAGAGATAAATATATACAAATAAACATTAAACAAAATAAACGAATAAAAATGATTAATATATTATTTCCTATTTATTTATATTTTTTATTTCAGATACATAGTCAATTTACATGATCTGTATATTAGGTGGTTGTATTAAAAAATGTGTACATTTTAATATCCAATGATTAGAAATGGAACATAGATATTGTAATAGTAATTTTTCAGTTTCAATAGTTTTTCAAAAAAAAAATATTGAGAAAACAATTAAGGCATAGTTACCTACTTTGGATAAATCAAATTCAATCTTCCTAAAAATAAAATACAATTATGCCTTAATAAAACGGCACACCTACATGTCTTGTCTCCATCTTAAATGGCTTGACGTGGTAAATTGTACAATCTAAATAATCAATTTAACTCAGTTGTAATTTGTGTTAGAGTATTCTAAAATAAACAAACAATTTACTATTCTTAAAATTAAAATATAATAAATTAAGAGGTCCACTAGATAATATTCTTACTATTTACTCCAATGCATACGAGTTAAAATGATCACAATTTGCCTTACTCAGCGTTTTTAAGACAACACATGCAGGTTGTTGTCCTCTTAAAAGGATGTCGATACATAATATTTTGTTCTCTCACTCTTGATGCACGCTCAGCATAGCAAATTCATATTCAGCAGAACTAACCCTGTTATTACTAATAATATTAAAGTTGATTCATCTATAAGTAAACCTGAAGTCTGTAAGTCTGTAAGTCCTGAACTATGTTGTCTTTTTAGATTTTACAATATTTTATTTACTATCCAATTTAAAATAATAAATTGTATCACTTGGCTACACTCATGATGACACTATAATTCTATGCTGTACACTTATAAAATTGTATACATAAACAT